AGTTCGACAAATTGCTAAACACTTAGGTGTCAGCAAACTATCTGCTTCAGATGGACAATCTTTAATTCTTAAATCCACTTCGATACTTTCATTTCATTTTGGATCCCATTTTTGAACTAATTTTAATAATTAGTATTCAATATATAAATAAATATAAACATATAAAATTTTTTACTTTGATAATCCTTCACGCATTCTCGACAAATATGATATTCATTTTTAAATCAGTCGACAAATTCATGATCATATTAACTTTTTAATAGCGGCGCCTGTTCGTGTAATATATTTGTTATAAAAGTCTAATTTATATCCGGTCCATTTTTTAGATTTCTTGATAAGGTTTATTGGTTGTCTTTTCCATAAATTTTCGTGCAAACTAAACACATCAAGCATGTTGGACAAGCGTTGGAACGAAAATTTAATAAACATTGACATTATTGTTATAATAATTGGTCATAATGGCTTTTATTATTATTTTATTATATAATGGATCATGCCGAAATCACTCACTTAACCGAATCGGCCAAACAATCATTCGGCTAATTTTTATCAGGTTTTTCAGGAATTATGATAATAGCTGTAATAAATATCCGGCTATCTGCAGAAATATTTTCGTTATCATATATGAACGATGAAAAAACCCTAATTATTGTAATTTTTAAATATCGGCAAAGAAACACATTACTAGTTTTGAATAAACCAGCATGGGGGACTTTCTCATTTTTCGAGGATTATTATAAGGTATATGTATATATATTAAATACCTTCTATTGTGTAACAGTTGCTTTTTTCCGGATCAGTCCGCATAACGAAAAACGTAATATTTATCCGAAAAAAGAAATCAATCTACGTACCGTTCCTAATACAGTAATAGAGCTCTAGGTTCATTTTTTAGAGCCCTATCATTATTTTTATAAAATTAAATAAATTCAAAGTACAAAAGTATCACGAGCTAGTAATAAGAATACGTCGACAATACAGTAATATCCTGTATACAACTTTGAAGTTTCATTTTTGGATAAAACACGTAAATTTTGCAACTAGCTTTCATAACTAATTTATATAAAAAAATTTTTTGAAAGTTGTCTTTTAATACGAGGCACGGTATTTAATCTTTGATTGGGTGATCTACGTGTCTGATTGTGATTTTATATTTTATATAAAATCTAACTATCACAGCCAACTTTCCCTATTTCGTGTTATCCCCCTATTTCGTGCCATATCCCCTATTTCGTTAAATACAGAAATGTTTTTTTAAGAATTTTTATACTCACGAAACTACCGCTCACGAAACTGCCGCTCATACTGACATTTACCGGCAACTTCAGTATGAAACCAGCCATGGAAAACGAACAATCACGAACCCACAACTTCCTGGACCTACTGTATGTAAACCTTTTTTCAAAAGTTCTGTTTTCAAAAATTTTTTATTTCTAATCCGAACTTAATAAAAATTTTTAAGCTTTTTTATTTAGTTCTCGCGCAGAGTTTAGAAAACCAACAAGAAGTTTTTACGATTTCGCTTTTTCCGATTCCCTATTTTATTTTCAAGGCAAGTAGATATCTTTGTAGGGGTCTACTATTGAATTGATATATATTAGAAATAGTTATGTTTCCTTACAATTCAATAGTCAAGAGACTTTCCGGTACTTTCGATGGTTAATGAGAGCTTTCTGACGGGGTTTGGGATATATATTAGACCAGGCTTACTGTTGGTTAATTTTTTCTGGTTGTCCCGTTTCGATATGTTGAACGTTGCCTCAGTATTTCTTAATAGTATATTGAACTATTGAACTAGGCATCCCGGGAGTATCTCTCTAGACATATTGAATAGAATATATTGAACAAACTTACGTTTTGAGAACTTTCGACAAACCATGATTCACGCTTGACAGTTTCTAGATATAGAGATTATTGATTAGATTTCTTTTATTGCTATAACATATTGTTAACATATTTTTTTTATATTTTTTATTACCAGGATAATAGTTCTAACGTTGATGCAAGGAAGAACAAGTAGAAGAAAAATGCCAACGATTATATTAAAGAATTTTAATAAAGGTATATCCTCTCTCATTAGTATTGTTCTTCCACGGCTGGATTTTTTTTTTTCATTGATTCAATAACACTTCTACTCTTCATTTTTCAACACAGCAAAACCTCGGCTTGGGTCTTCCTCTTGGACTTCAAATCGGAACAAACAACCACAATTGTCCACGGTACGTGGGGAGAGTTGGACAACAAAACCACACCTCAGTAGCTCACTTTCTTTACCGACCTGTTTATTTGTTGTTGATTAAAGAAATTTAGGTTAGTGTTGTTTTAAATGATATTTCAAAGAAAAATTGAACGTGGGGCCAGAACTTAAAATAATTCTTTCGTTTTGGTGGTTGGACTTTAACTCTACCGGAGCATAATTAATGGTTTGAATTTGTTGCTGCTTACCTAATTGCTGATTAATAAATGCTTGTCTTGCAGCTACTACGAGAAAGAGTGCCAGAAATTCCGTCAAGAGTGAAAAGCCAAAATTGGGGCTAGTGATTGGTGTAAGCGGGATGAAATTAACGAAAGTTATTTCCTCGTTGGCTGAGTTATACATTGCCTTTCTTTTTCGGTTCAAGTTTTTTTTTATTTTGAGTTCGTTTTTCTTTCCTCTAATAATCCACTAATGGCAATTTCAATTTGGGCTTTATCTATTTTAATTTTCTTTTGTTGTCTTTTGTTTTTTTTTGTTTTTTAAATCAATATTAATTTTGATTCTTTGTGATCTAGACGAAAATAAAAATTGAATTCTTAATCTGTTTCTGATTAGTGAAAAAGAAAGCCGGCAATTAAACAGTCAATATTGTCAAAAAGATTATCCGGCCGATGTTTTGTCTTTTCCCTTTTACTACCTAGAACGTTGAAATACGCAACCGATGAACATGTGCGTTGGAAATTTAAAAAATTGTCAATATAAACAGCTATATGGTGTTTTGTTGGTCTGGTAAGATACGTTTCCTGATTTACTATTTGTAGATTCACGACATGCATAGCAAAAATACTAATTATTTCAACATTACTAATTATTTCAACATTTCTTTTAAAATTTCGTGCTGCACATGCCGGAAAGAAATCTCTGAATACACAGATCAGCTGGGTCACCAAGGAATTTAAGTAAGCGTTAATTTTAAGTGGTATTTCAAAGAAAAAAAATAAGATGATACAATGAGATAAAAAGAACGCGGCCAACGAACAAAACCATAGTGGAGTTTGTTGGTCTGGCCGCATCGATGTTCTCTGATTTACTATTCGTGGATTCACGACATACGTTATAATTTTTTCTCATATTTTTTAATTTTTTAGAAAACACATTGCCAACGGAAATTCGGCTAATTAATCCGAGACGTCGTGTAACTTACATCGGCTTAGACGAAGAGGCGTTTAGATTTGGTGAGTGGGTGATTTAGGTCGTAGGTGAATCTTCTAACTTATGTGAAAACTTTGATGATGACACAGTAACGCTTATCTTCCACTTGACTTCAAACCGGAACAGAAACCACAGTCCATCGGGAAACTGGAAAACAACCGCAACTATCTCAGCTCGTTGAGACAGTTGGAAAATAACAGCCACGGAGGCTCTCAGTACGTCGAGAAACAGCCGGACAGAGGTTCAGTACGATTTACGTTAGTCACGTGAACAAGAAACAACGATCGTACTGCTTATGCCACTTAAGCAGTAGATTCAGGGTTAAGTATTTTACTTATTAGGGAACGAATTTTTGTTGAATCACGAAGGATATGCTCCTTCAAGGACGAGAAGCCTTTATTATGTACTTAGGCTATATTACGACTTGTTAAGTCTTATTCGTGATATGTCTTTTTTTTATCTATTTATAACGTTACTTATAATATATATATATTACTGATATCGTATTTATCATTTATTTCCTTATTTCCATCTTTTCCACTTTCTACGTTTTATCACCGGAAAACCTAATTACGTTAATTCGACGCTGCGCCCACCACGTGTTTCCGGACTCACATTTATCCCCACTTAAAGTCGAGTTCCACGAGACTTATCTTTAAGTTGGAGATCCTTATCAGGAATATCAACATGGGTCGATAGTTTCTCTCGGAATAAATAGAGCGGCTAGGCGACCAGGATCGAAAACTATAGTTCTGTCCCACTCCTTTTTATATATCTATATGTTCGAGGGTTTCTTCCTTGGTTTCGCGTCCATTTCCATAAACTCTTGCACAGCTCCGCTGGGGGCGGCACCAAACGTCAGGACTCTTTCGGGCATGATTTCGTCGTTTTGCTTTTGCACATTTTACTCTTGAATTGCCTCAAAAATTCGATGGCCCTCTTCTAATTTTTGTAGGCTTTTTCCATATTTTTCGCCGAGGAAAGTCTACCTTTCCAACGTTCAGATTCATCAGCAGTTTTCAGGTTCCATTCTAACACCTTTTCTTCATCACTTCCAGTTACGATTCCACCTGGGTCAAATCGGCTAGTTTCGTTATCATTTTCAGCACGCTTCACATACCATTCGGATGCTTCTTTCCGTCCGACTTCGATCCCGAAGACACACGTGATTACGAAATCGTGCGAAACTCTTCCCTTAGGCCACGCAAAGTTGATTTTTCGTTTTGCATAACATGAATTTCAAAATTAGGGACGGACGGACGGTTTTTATATATATATATATATATATATTTTAATTCAATTTACTGCAAATAGAATAATGATCATATTTAAGGTTATATTTGCACAACAAGGAATCAAAAAATCGGGCCGGCAGCCATATTTTCCTGTCAGTCATATCGGACAATTGCGGGAAATTAAGGTCTCATCGAGCGATACCGGATGAAATAGCGGGGGAAATAGATGTCAAAAATAGAGCAATTGGCATAATTGGGATCTAAAAAAAAATTTTGAAAAATTGAAAAAATGGGACGGCGGGTAATGCAAATCAACTTAAGTATCATATTATCTTTTTTTTTTTTTTAACATTAACTACTCTTATTTATCCAATCATGCTTCTATCGTCACCACATACTTTGAGGTCCATCTTTCTTCGGAGAACCGAAATGAAAAACGCAATCCGAAGAAATCAAAAGAAGTACGCGATATAAAAAGTAAGTATCGATTAACGTTAATGTGCCGCGACTAATACTTTTTTTGGCCGGCTTGAGGTCTACTGGTCCTGCATGAGGGATCGGTTATGAACTTACTTTGAACTGTTTGAAAAAGGTATTATTATAACACGCTTTCCGATCGCTAACCTGACACTTCTGGCCGTATTTCATGCTTCGAAAGAAGTGAGTTTCGAAAGAAGAGAGATACATCGGAACTGTCATGGGCTCTGTGATTTTTAA